AACAGCCCAAGACGATATTGTCACACTTGAGCTAGCAAATGTCAAATTTAAGACGGGCCTCCAATTGCATTGAACGAATGTCGGAACTCTGGAGTTCCAACAAATAAGGTTATTCCGATTAGTCCAGTCCCACAACCGTCTTTCTGATGAATCAGTGCAGAATCCGCATGACACGTGATGGGCATTGAAGTCTCCCGCAAATAATATACTGTTTCTGCGAAAACTCACAGTCACGTCAAGAGCTCTTTCATCTCATATTTCACCCGGAAAGTAGTTGTTGACTATGGATAGTGGCCCGCTACCGGGAAAGTGAATTTCTAGAACCAATACTTCATAATCGTGTGATATTTGTTTGTAAACTAAGTGTGCTTTATGACAAATTTTGGATGAAATGAAAAGCAATAATTCTCCACCACGTGAGTCTCGGTCCAGTCGAAAGCACTGATAGTTTTTTAGATAGAAGTTTTGATCAGCAGACAGCCAAGACTCTGGTAAAATTATGACGTCTGGAGATTGTTGAGAAATTAGGTATAATAAGTCTGTAGTTGCAGAGAGAATTGAACGGCAGCTCCACTGAAGTACTCTAAGGCACCCTATGATGATAAGCAAGCAGTAGCAACTGCTTGATCTAAGATACTGTCCTTTAAGAAGTCCGCTTTAGTCCTAAGTTTCTTCACACTCTTTTTTGTTTTTGGATTAAAAGAAATATTATGTTTGCTAGTGGGTGATCTGGTGCGTTTCAAAAGGCGAGCATCCATATCTACATCCAGATTACTTATTGATTCTTAATCAGATATATCTTCCTGCTCAGTTGTGTTATATCTGGAAGGCATTGCCTCATTATGGACACAGACATCTGACTGATGTTCGGCAGGTTTATTAATTGAGGCACTGGGAGGTTGGATACGCTTAGTTAGTCTATCAGATGCACCCGACATCTGTGAATCCATCATAATATTGAGTGAGTCGGACAGATTGAGTAAAAATTTTTCTAATACTTTTTCTACGGCCTTTTCTACCATAGCAGCAATGGACTGAGAAAGTGATGCATCCATGGAAAGAGGTGGACGAGCTGCTATGCCGGCATAACTCTCATTCCTGCTTTGAATTTCTGCAATTGCTTCTCTACGAGAGCATCGTCTCCTTTCAATGATTTCCGTCACCTGAAGTTCCTTTGATATCGTCTGCAGCGTGATTTGCCTTGCACAAACAGCAAGTCCTATTGTCTGATTGACACTGAGCAGTACTATGACCAGCCCAGTACATGGCCTCGCATATGCGGCATCGAGTCTCCGATCGACAACCTTCAGTACTGGGCCCAAAGCGGCAACATTTAGCACGTGCATTGCAGCGGACAGGGAGCCAAAGCTTCGACCTTATAGATAAGCGGCCATGCCTTGATCTCCGAAAAGCGATCTGTTCCAGCGAATGTGGCAATTACAGTTTCAGTGGGAACTTTCTGTTTTCCTGCTTGGTACAGCAGTAAACAGAATTAAAACCTGCTGGCGAAAAGAAGTCCAAGACTTCTGCTGGGCTTATCTACCCCCCGAACCAATCTTTCGCAGCAAGCTAGATGAGGTGGGATAAAAGAGCTCACCGGATGTGATGCAAAAGTAGTGCACTTCAGAAGGTCTTGGATGCAAGCCTTGTCTGGTGAGCAGCATAATATCCCCCCCCCGCCCCCCACATCCAAACTGACGAACCTCTGTTATCAGTAGAGAGTGGGAGTGATTGCACGAAATTCCGTTTGGATTGTCTAGGGGTTTTTCATTCGGATGAACCCACCGGTGGTCGGCCCCAAAGCGACAGGAACGCTACGGGTTACATTGTGGAGAAACAACTCCAGGGGAAGATCTTGAGGGGGAACAGAGGCTGACCAGAGGGCAGGCCTCTGGCCCGGAGAATAAACACACATGAAATAAGAAGTTACACTTGTCAATGCACTAAAACAGTTGCGGAACAAGAGGTAGATCTAATAAAATAAAATAAAAGTAACCACCGGCTACTTGACTACAATCCTGAGGATGGAACAAGGAACGTTGGGACCACTGACCAGCTTCTTCCAGCTCGTGAGCGCCGAACTCGATCTTGTTCTGCCCCCGACTGGATGGGGCCAGCTGTTCTTATTCTGTCTTTTTCTTCCTCGCTCGCCTAGCATGCGCGTCTGTGCCAGAGTGCCAGTTTCGGTCTTCGTCGTCACAATATATATATATATATATATATATATATATATATATATATATATATATATATATATATATATATATATATATATATATATATGTATGTATGTATGTATGTATGTATGTATGTATATACGCCTATTATTTTTATTGTTCTACCACAGTGGGAGAAAGGTCATGACGCGTAGTTTTATCTTCAAAGATTTTCAGCTCTGTGTAACTAATGCACAATATACGTCAGGACCACAAAACTGAAGCACCAACGTAGGCCTTCTTGGGTATCGCTTTAAAATAACGACATAAGTAGGAGCAAGTTAAAATAGCGCGGTGTTTAAGCCTTCTCTACGCCTTGCCGCGTTTAGCACCTTTTTCTTCATTTCCTGTAACATTGACCTAAAGACACTCACCTGAGCAGAAAGAAACGTAGCTGTGACTATGCACTGAGCTGGGTTTATCGAACCCTTTTGTGGCAAAAGTTGCAACAATTTAATTATCTGCTCACATGTAAATGCACAGAAATTTGATTGTACTATTTTAAAGCAAGGACAATATAGTAAGCAGGCACCTGAGTATTATGTGCCCCTAAAAGTTTTAAATGCGAAGCATTTCTTAGCGCACTTCGGCGACATTGAGCGTATCTATCTATCTATCTATCTATCTATCTATCTATCTATCTATCTATCTATCTATCTAGCCGCCTACGACACTTAGCTCTCCTGGCCGCTTCGACAGTGGTAGCGTTACCAAACTTAGTATGGCATATTATGACTGTATGAAAAACATATTTCACAAGTCATAACAATGAAGTCATGATTTGTATGTCATGAACATCATGATATACATTTCATGATTCTGCAGCTCTGGCGGTAGTTTAAGTCACATGGCATGTTGCAAAGCTGGTATGCTGTGGCATGATTGCATGGTGAACATAAACGACAGATTTTAACATGAAAGCCATGACATGCGTGTCATGTAACAACATGACTACATGCCACGCTCATTATGCGCTCACGCCCGTTTCGCTAGCGTCACATATACTAAATTTAGTATTACAGTACGCAAATAGATGACGAAGGTATGTGACTGGTGCAAACATGATAATCATGAGATACGTGTCATGTAACAACATGTCTACATGCCACGCTTATGATGCGCTGGCGGCCCTTTTACTAGCTTCACTTATACTAAATTCAGTATTACGGGACGTGAATAGATGACGAAGGTATGAATGTGACGAAGATGACGAAGGCACCAGCGCAAACATAATAAACATGAGATGCGTGTCGTGTAACAACATTACTACATGCTACGCTCATGATGCCCTCGCGACCGTTCCGCTAGCTTCACATTGACCAAACTCGGTATTACGTGACGCGAACGGACGACATAAGTAAATGACACATCCAAACATGATAATCCCAACATGCGTGTCATGTAACAACATGACTACATGCCACAATTATGATGCGCTCACGGCCATTTCGCTAGCTTAACATACGCCAAATTTGGAATTACCTGACGCCAATAGATGACGAAGGTATGTGATTGGTGCAACCATGATCATCATGAGATGCGTGTCATGTGAAAACATCATGCCACAGTCAATGCGCCAATACTTTTCGACGTGACGCGGTGTGCGTGCTCTCCGGCATTGATTTCGTCGCGTCACGCCGGTGTTGTTACGCCAGACGCCAGTCTTGCCATATACTCACCGGCGCGCCTCGCGCTGCGTTGCTTTGACGATTGCGCGTTTCAGCGCGTCCGGCGTCCCTCCGCACGAAAAGAGACACACGCAGTGCCGTCGCCGAGGACCTCTGAAGATGTTCCTCGAACAATGTGTCCCTGGCAGCCTAGCCCCGGGCACAGCAACAACTGTTGGGCAAATAAAGTTTATTCAACTCAACTCAGTGTTGTCAAGGTAACGCATCGGCGCGAAAAGCAGCATGTCGGAATTCGCGCCGGTCGCCTTCGCACCAAGCCGACGGGCGCTGGTCGCGCCTGGCGTCATACTACCTCGCGTTTCGCTAACGTTGCGTCACTGTGTGCAGCGTGCGCACGCATCAACGCTATGTTGGAGTATATTGGGCCCTTCATGAGGCGCTCATGGCCATTTTACAAACATGATAATTATGAGTGTTGAAGATTGGGCGAGTTGGTTCGTCGTACTTGAACTGGTATAGCGCATTACGGGGAAGAAGAAACGGCCGAGCAGACCGACACAGGATAGCGCTCTGTCCTCTTGTGTCGGTCTGCTCGGCCGTTTCTTCTTCTCCGTAATGCGCTATACCACTTCAAGCATGATAATCATGACACGGAAGTCATGTGCGGCATCATTTGCCTTCACCTCGTAACTTTGTGCTGGTTTTAAAGTGACATATATCAACATTTCATATTCGTATCATTGATTCCCACTGTACGTGGGATCTGCCAATTTTTTTTCTTTGTTCCTGGATAAGGGTAATCCAGGGTAACGTATGAAGTAGCTATAACTACATATTACCTTATAAATTTCGCTCAGTGCGAAATGCAGTCGGTGTCCCCCCGCTGTGCTCTAGTAGATGAGGTACTCGGCTGCGGACCCGCAGGTCGCGCGATCGAATCCCCGCTGCGGCGGCTGCATTTTCGACAGAAGTGAGAATTCTGTAGGCCCATGTTCTCAGATTTCGGTATACGTAATTAACCCCAGGTGGTCCGAATTTCCAAAGCCCTCCACACGGCGTATCGCATAATCTGATTGTAGTTTTGGGGGCTGTTAAACCCCACATATCAATTTTCGGTGCGTGTTTACTTACATTTGTCTACCTTTTGCTTGTGCAGATGATCACAGAGGCTGGGACTCATCAGTGCTTCCCGCGTTCAATGATATGCAGCAGTTTTGTTCACACCCAGAGCAAGAGTGTTCAAGATGCTCAAGGTGCCGTAATAAACTCTTCAAAAGAGCAAATATTACGTGAACAAAAAATACGCAACCGTTGTGATCTGGACCCTGAAGCGTTCAGTTGGTTGAAAGGTTACACTTACAGAGACCATTTAGCAGTCTTAGAGAGCGTAGAATTCCGTCAACGAACTAGCGCTAAATGTCAGCATCTCGACGTTGGTTGCGGACCAGGAAACTTTCTTTCAGACTGCTTGATTCCGCGGCTGCGTCCGTTCAAACGCGTCGTAGCTATATACATATCGCTAGAAATGCTTCGATACGCCCGATGCCACTATCAGCAGCGAGGAGTCTCCTACGAACAACATGACATTGAGAACGACGATTCATACACGTTGCGTGAGAAGTACGGCCTGTTCGATCGGGTCTTCGCTTTCCTCACTTTTCATTTTGTGTCGAATTTGGAAAAGGCGTACCAGAATGTCCATCGCTTACTCCAGGACCACGGAGAGTGCCTGACTGTTAACTTCACAAGAACTGGCATAACCGACGTGTGGCACCGGATGTACCAGAAGGAACAATGGAGGCCCTACCTTCCCGTGAGTTCTGATTTTGATCGTAGATACTATTGTTCTACCCGTGATGTTCTATCCGTGATGCTACTGAGTTCTTGATATCTGTGATAAGTGAAGTGCATGTTTCGTGAAGTGCGCGAGTGCAACCAGTGTTCGGTTTAAAATGTGCGCGAGTGCACCGGCATAGGAAAGAAGACGACGACGACCGATGGTGTGGACGCGCGCTTTCGCGATGTATTCGGTGAGGAAGACGATGGGCAGACGAGGCGCGTGAAGTTCGGACCAATGAGAGGCCCCCACGCTGGTTTGGAAGAAGCCCGAACGAAGAACGGGGCAGAGGTGGCCGGCACGCGACGGAGGCAAGCAGGCTACCAGGGCGCAGGGGTGGCGGCCGAGTTCCTGAGGCAAGGCTGCTGCGGGCTCCCACCTGGTCGGGCACCCGAGCATCATCTATCGTCTGGCGTTGGCCAGGCCGCTCGTCATCTGGCGTTGACCAGGCCACTCGTCGTCTGGCGTTGGCCAGGCCGCTCGTCGTCTGGCGTTGGCCAGGCTGCTCGTCGTCTGGCGTTGGCCAGGCCGCTCGTCGCCTGGCGTTGGCCAGGCTGCTCGTCGTCTGGCGTTGGCCAGGCCGCTCGTCGTCTGGCGTTGGCCAGGCCGCTCGTCGTCTGGCGTTGGCCAGGCCACTCGTCGTCTGGCGTTGGCCAGGCTTCTCACCATCTGGCTTTGGCCAGGCTCGTCCCGTTTCAGGGCTACGTCCCAGCGTCGGAGGACGAACGCTGAGAGGTCACTGACCTTGGTGCGCCTGGAGCTACCTTCATCCACGAGCAACGCTTGGACTTCTGATCTACCTTGTCTGCACCCCATCGCATCAACCCTCGCCGTCTACAAGAGTGCCGCGACCGAACGGTGACAGTCGCTTTTGCTATTGCGGAACTTACGCATCCTTAGCATTTCGTGGTCATTAGATTAATTTCTCCTCGAATTTGTGTGCTTTGTTTGTTTTTCCTCTTATTCCTTTCTCTTTATCTAGTTTATTGAAAATATATTTAGTTGTTTTTCTTGTGTGCATAAACGGTCTCGTGTTCTCTTTACCGATGTGGGTTTTCTCATCAGTTTGTATGCACAAGAACCTACACGAGAGCTTGTGGGTTGACTAGCCTCGTGACAATTGGCGTCCGCGACAGGACGAGATTGTTTATGCAATTAAGTTTTTACAGAAGGAGAGAAAATGACTACGTCTGATTTAACGGCGTTAGCGATACGCATGGGGCTAGAGGGCGATGAGTTGAAGGCATGGCTTGATGAGCGTGAGGCACGAGCTCGCGAAGAAAGGGCAGCTGAGCGAGAGGCAAGAAAGGAGAGGATGGAACAGGCGGAGTTGGAACGAAAACTTGAGGCCGAATGCCAGAAGACGATTCAACTGCGTCTTCAACTTGCTCAGGTGGAAAGGGCCAGGGAATCCGCGGCGTCGTACCATGGTCGACAGGTGCGAGAACCGTGTAACGTTAACCCGCACAATTTCATACCCGGATTCAATGAAAACCGGGATGACCTTGATGCTTATCTCAAGAGATTTGAGAATGTGGCCACCGGTCAGAAATGGCCTAAGGATAAGCGGGCCACGGCACTGAGTCTGTGTCTGAGCGGAGAAGCTCTCAAAGTATTTGGTTGCTTGTCTCCAGAAGAGGCACTTGACTACGAGAAAGCCAAGTTAGCATTACTGCAGCGTTTTCGTTTCATGGCGGAGGGCTACCGGGAGAAGTTCCGGCATAGCAGACCTCAAGATGGAGAAACAAGCAAGCAGTATGCAACCAGGTTGGCAAGTTTTTTTGACAGATGGGTGGAGATGTCCAAGACAGCAAAAGAATATTCGTCTGTTAGAGATCTCATAGTAGTCGAACAGTTTATCAATCAATGCCATCACCACGTGGCGCTTTTCCTACGTGAGAAAAAATGTCGTAAGCAAGATGAAATGACCGAGGCTGCGGACAATCTTTAGAGGCCTAACGACAGTCAAATTTGTTGGTTTTTCGCGACAAAACGGAGAACGGCGCCGCAGGAAAATGCGGAAGTACAGCGGGAAAGTCTCCCACTCGATGTTTTGTCTGTGATAAAACAGGTCACAGGGCAGCAGAATGTCGTGCTCGGACAAGACCATACTGTGACTACTGTCGCGAAACGGGGCATTGATTGATTGATTGATTGATTGATTTGTGGGGTTTAACGTCCCAAAACCACTATATGATTATGAGAGACGCCGTAGTGGAGGGCTCCGGAAATTTTGACCACCTGGGGTTCTTTAACGTGCGCCCAAATCTGAGCACACCGGGGCATGATAGTAATGTATGTACCAGAAAGCAGAACGTCACGAAGAGGACTTCTTGTATCTTGTCGCCAGAGAAAAAGGCAGAAGTAGTGAATGATATGCCTGCGGACAAGCAGGAGGAGAATATGACCAGTGCGGTAAATACGCAGCCAAAGTAAGAAAAACATCCGATGCTAGTGCTGCAGGGCGTTATATTCGGCCAAGCTGCTTCCGTCCTACGGGATACAGGAAGCAACACAATGGTGGTTCGGCGTTCTTTGGTGCCAGATGAAGCACTGACAGGAACCATGACGGCCTTGTTCCTAGCAGACGGGAGCCGGATCACGGTACCAGAGGCGAAGATGGAGATTTTTTCGCCATATTTTCAGGCACGTGTATCGTGAAATGCATGTCCTCCCCGCTATATGACATCATCGTTGGCAATGTGCCAGGATTTCGTGCTGCTGATGACCCTGACAAGAAATGGAAAGAAAAACTGGCTGAAGGGAACTTCACTCCGAACGGCGTAGCCGAGACCTTGTATAAGAAGAAAGAAGACCATCGTTTAAAAGTACCACTTGGCCAAATGCCGTTGATTGAGACCCCATTCGAGTGGCGCCAACGGACGTCATGCTCTCAAAGCCATCGAAGGAAGCAGCAGCAAGTCTTCGCCCTGAGGGCCCCGGCGCCGCTGTGGACCCCGAAACCACTGCCACTAAGCAGGTCCGGAGGCGGTCCAGAGAGCACCAAGCAGTTGGCTGCGGTGGCTGTCGCCATGGGCACCAGCTGTGGCGGATCGGTACCGTACCGGCCTCGTGAACCAAACCCAAGGATCCCGCGCAAGGAGAGCAAGACACCGGCCAGCCACATGCATCTACCGCCGTTTCTGGCAGCAGTGTCGAGCAAGCCACCCATTAAGTCACCGTCGCCGAACACCGCGACGCGCGTGCAGGGACCTCCGAGGGCGGCTGCCTTCAAGACCACGGACTTCGCGTCGACAGTACCACTTCCGTTTCCGCTGAGAGCTGCTTTCGCAGCCAACGAATGCTGTGCCTCCCCAGCCCTTTCAAAGAAAAATGAGACATCCGGTACGAACTCCAGAACCGGCCAAGGTTCCAGTGGCGGCGGCGGAAAGTCCAAGGCAGCCGGAGGTGGAAATATGACTGCGCGTCGATATAACAACAGTGGGGGCGTTCGCGAGTATGACATGCTAGGGACCAAGCTAAATAAGCCGCATCGCCTGAATAACATGACCTTCACAAAGTCATCAGAACGGTCAAGTGGAAACTCGTCGTACAACAGCGCCAACAAGGCGTTCAGCCGAACGCCGCCATTTAGGAACAGCCCGAGGGTATACAGTTCCACAGTTCTCAAAGATTTCAACTCTCCTAGCAAGCAGGACAACGGCCGCGGTGCGGCGACTGATTACAAGCCTATGCTTTCAGTGCCCAGGGAGGCTCCGCCGAAGGAGCAACGAAGCGCAAGTATGGGCGGTAGAAAGATTTCATATATTTTTGTACGGAGTACAGTTTATCGTAAAGACAGATCATCAACCGCTACAATACTTAGCGAAGGCAAAACACCTGAACAGTAGGTTGCTAAGGTGGAGTCTAGTACTACAAGAGTACACTTTTCATATTCAACATATCAAAGGTTCTGAAAACGGAGGTGCTGACTTCATGAGCAGGTTACGGCCATAGATACGAATTCAGGTGTTGCTAAAGATGGGAGGCGAGGCATTTCGACCAACCATCAGAATATTGTTTACCATATGTGGATTTTTTTTTCCTGTAAGTGTGCTCCTTAAGACTTGTTGCAGTGATACCGGTGTGCATATGTTCATGCGAACTCCAAGAACGTATCCTGTGTGGTGAAACACGCATCCGGCAGTTTTTTTTTCGTTGGAAAAAAAAACTTTTCGGAAAAGGGGCATGTTGTGAAAAGTGAAGTGCGCGTTTCAGTGAAGTGCGCGAGTGCAACCAGTGTTCGGTTTAAAATGTTTAGAAAATTGAAATTGCTCCAGCCACAGTTCAAAAAAGAGCCCGACGTTTCGAGACCGACTCGGTCCCTTCCTCAGGGGGTGACTGTCTTGGTCATGGAAGTGTCGTCGCGTCGTATTCTCTCACCACGGCTCCGGCTTTCCCTTTCCACCACGTTTCGGAGACCGTGAACGTACACCGAAGGCATTGTTCCCAGCGAGCGGTTCACGTTGGCAGGCGTATGCTGAATGTGCCAAGACTCGAGCAAGAGCCTCTTTCCCAAATTCCGTTCTGTTTCAATAACAGAAGCGCCGTCTAAGTCAATTTTATGGTCGTGCTTCTCGCAGTGCTCCGCCAGAGCGCTACGTTGCACTTCCATCTTCCTGACGTCGTTCTTGTGTTGGCGCATTCTTTCCGGGAAACACTTGCTCTCGCCTATGTAGCAGGCTGGACACCCAGAACACGACACTTTGTAGACAACGCTCGGGTGTAGCTCCCTCTAAGGTCGGTCTTTCGGCCGAGGTAGCAAGCGAGCGAGCGTCGAAACAGGTTTATGGATTACCGTGACCCCGGCTTTTCCTAGGACTCTCGAGAGCTGTTCACTTATGCCCGGCACATATGGAATGGTGACGCGGTTGTTTGGCGACTTCGTTTCTCTCGTGTGCGGTGGTGTGGCCAGGGCGGAAAGGGGGTCGGGCGGTGTGTCGCTTGCAGGTGTCTTTCCGCGGAGCGGTGGTTGT